CACAGGGTTTTCAAGGACTGGTTTCCTGGAAGAAGATCACCAGGTCTTCCTTCCAAGGTGTCTCTGGGTAGGTTGAAACTGTCAGTCTTTCTGTTAGCACCTGAATGCATTAACTGTTTATGACAATAAGGCATTCCTCTAATTCAATAAAATCAAACTCCTTGCTGTTGAGTTGATTCCAACTCATAATAATCCTACAGAACAGATTAGAACTGCCCCATAGGGTTTTGTAGGCTGCCTCTTTACTGGAGCAGGTCTTTCTCCCAAGGAGCAGCTGGTGGGTTCGAACCTATGACCTTTCAGCTAAGCAGCCAAGCACTTATCCAGCACTCCTTGGCTCTAATTCAATAGAACCCTCCAAATCTGCATTTCACCAAGCTCCCTAGTGATCCTGAAATGGGAGGCCTCCCAGACCACAACTTAAGAAATTGCTCTAGAAACTCTGGAAACAGAACCTAAACAGAGAAGAACTGATCCTACGTTCAAACAGGAAGAGTTCAGAAGTCAGGCATGTAACACCACTGATCATGTGCCTATCACCAGGGACAAAAGCCTCTTTGGGGTTGACTGCAACCTCCTCTCCCTATAAAGGCACCACCTGAGCAGCCTGCAGATACCCTCTTCTCCATCTCACCTTCCAGGCTGTACTTCTCAGCTGCATAATAACAATCCAAGCTGTTAAAAACCATGCATCCTCACATGCTACAGCCCAGGTATAGAGCTCTGAAAAGCAGAACTTCGATGACAAAAATACAATTCAGTGAATACATCTTTAGGGTGGACGAGGTACGTGGTTTGGAAGAAAAAAGGCAGGTGTGAAGTCAGTTGCTGGATTTGATCTCCAGCAGTGTACTTTGCAGAAATTACTTAACTTCTCTGATACCTGGGTTTCTGCTCAGTAAAACGGGGATAATCATCCCTATTGCTCAAAATTGCTGAGAGGATTAAATGAGAGAATGAATACAAAGTGCCCCAAATATTTAACCAATGTGGAGATTTTTTTTTCATCTAGTCACAACCAAACAAAATGCCAGAGAAGTGAGCATTTCCAAAAGGAGTATTAATACAGAGTGTCTTCTATAAAACTGGAGTGTGTCTTATTTCATGCACTTGGCACCACAGCAGGAAGCTCACTTCAGGAAGAAAAAGGTCTACAGTGTGTGAGGAAGCAATCACCACCCAAGTAATTCTGGAAGCTGAGCATGAGAGCATGAGCTTATCAGGTGTGTGTGGGAGCCGGGGGGTGGGGAATGGGCAGAGAGATGGGCTCTGGATCCTGGCTGGGAGGACTTAAGCCTTTGGGGCAGGAACATGGAGGACCCTAGGTCAACGTGGCAGAAGTAGGGGGGCATGTCAACTGATCAGATGCCGGCAGGGAGAGTCTCCTTCTCCAGAGAGACTTACCTCCTCACCTTTCCTCCCAAGGACCCAGGAGGGACTTCTTAGTGGTAGATCTCATAAGAAGCTGGTCACAGAGGGGCCTGTACTTGTCTCTATCCCAGGCCACAGGTGATCTTCAGGGCCCATTCAATTGTGTTCACAGAGGCTCTCACCTCAGGGATCCCACCCGGGCTCAGCAACCGCTCATTTTTTCTGGCGTATCATAGAATTTCAAGGACCAGCAGGCCTTCAAGATTATCCTAATCCTCAGTTGTACCTCCAGTGAGCTAGTCCTTTTAGAAAAATCTTTCTTTTATTAAACTGAAGCCTGTGTGCTGGTAGCTTCCATCCATGTTTCTTAATTCCTCCTTAAGGCCACAGAAAACGCTTCAGAGCTTCGTGTCTCTGGGTCTTTCCTGCATCATCTCTTCTTTAAACTCAAGAGCCCTAACTCCTTCAACCACTCTACACTGTGGCTTCGTGAGCTGCTGTTGTGTTTCTTTTTTATACTGAGCTTGTCATCCCCTTAAGGAACGCCTCTCTCACTTCACACAGGTTCCATCCTGAGAGAAGTTAACCTGGGTTTGTAGGTGGTCACTTTCCTAACCATGTGGAGGCAGCTCTCATTCAGGAGGAAAAACAGAGGCTGGCACACAAAGGGAAGTAAAGCTGTAATGATGTGGCCTAAGCCCCCCGAAACCTCCTGGCTACATGAACCAGGATATTCCCTTTTTGCCTTAGGTTGATTTGGATTTCAGTCACTTGCAAATAAAAGCTTCACATGCAACAAGCTCCTTGGCCATGGGTCTTCAGGCCCTCAGCACCTCTCTTCTGATTCCAGCCCTCCCCTCATCTGGATTGCTAAAGTGGGACACCAGTCTCAGAACCCTATACCCTGACTGGGTCTGAGCAGGGCAGAGCAGGCCCATAGCCTCCCTGATCTGGGCATTCTTCCTTCCTAAGGGAGGCTGAGGTGGTGCCAGCCTTTCTGGCAGCCACACCAGCACTATGACTCACGCACTGTGCAAACCTCAGCATCCTTTTCCATGTGTGCCTCAGATAAGCCAAACCTCATCTACTCTGCTGGTGCAGTTCATTTAGGGTCTGGTTCCTCGAGGGGAGCTTAGCGACTGGTGTAACAACTACCAGACTGAGGAAATTTAGGTGTAATAAAGCTGTTTTCCATGACATACAGGGGCTGCTTCCAGGAAATCCAATCAATACCCAATGTTCTGATCACACACAGCTCCTAGCTAGTAAAACACCCCAGGGATGCAACTTGCCTCTGTCAATCACATCAAACACATTTCCTGGCATAATGACCCAAGCTAGGCTCCATAAAACACTTAATGTCTTAGGGCACACAGTAGTAGAAGCAGAGATGTAGCAGTAGCCACACAGCAAGGTAATTAAGAACGCAGGCCTCAGAATCAGATGTACAACTATGTACCCACCCACCAATAGCTACTTGTGTGGTCTTGGGAAAGTGATTCACCTGTCTGAGCTTCAGCCAGTAAGAAGAGGCTAACACTGACTCTTACATGGTTACTAGGATGGGGAGGTTGCTAATAATTTAAGGAAAACAGAGCAATCCTCTATTGTTGTTATTAAGCTTCTGTTGGGAGTTAGTAAACAAAAGGAATCCTGGCTAGGCTATGCTATCCTGTGCCTCAGTTTCCTTCTCTAAATCTCTTCTAGCTCAAATTCTATGATCTTGAAATAAAACCAACCTGAGGTTCCATCTTGATTCCAAGACCTATTTAAAGCTTCAGCTATCATAGACAGGAAATCAGCCGACACATATTTCCTACTACTCTCACTCCGTTTATTAAGTTCTCTTGCATTTTGCACCAAGCCCTCTGGGAGCTTTTTGTGGCGCACTTGTGCTGCTGGTGAGCTGATCATTTCACACAGTTCCTAGGGGTATGTGGATGCTCTACAAACATTTCTGGGCCAAGTGATTAGTCCCAGGACAAAGTGAGAAGAACAGAGCAGGCAGCAGAGTGACTAACTGCCAGGAAGGCCGAGGACAGGTATGTGTACAGGGCAGGTGGAGGCTTGACAACTGGTAGACCTCTCTCCATGTCACATGGAGGTGGTGGAAAGGCCCCCTGCCCTGTCCCATCAAGCTGTAGAGGATGCGCTGGGCTGTAACATTTAGTTCACAAAGCCACGTTTGTCCAAGCAGTTAGAATCCTTAGGTATTAACTACCATACTGAAATTCTCACTTAAGCTCTGTGAGATCTGACTGCCAAGTAAGCTAGAAAATGCCCTGCCTTTGAAAGAATGCTCCTTGTTTTCCTCATGTCTCAAAGTCAGGCCTAGGCTAGAATCAGGACCTAGACTAGCTGCCCTCACCTTCCCTCCTCTGGCCCAGCCTTGCCACCCCCACCCTGCCTCTCCTTAGCTCCCACAGCATCCTGCCCTCTCCTCTCTACCATCCCCCGAGTCCTCTGACCCTTTGAAGCCCCACACACATACCACCTCCTCCAAGAAGCCTTCCCAGTATTCTATCCCAAAGTGACCCTCCTCTTTTTGGCTCTATGCACTGGGCTTAACAGTTCTTTGTACATTTGTTGTATTATAAATCTGTGTTATTTTGGGAACTTTCTTTCCCCATCCCAGATGTGGAAGATTCTCAAGGCCAGAGAGTCTCAATTTTTCTTTTATCTCCCATAAGCTTCTGCTGAGCTGAGTGCACAGCAAATGCTCAGCAGACGCGTAAGTTAACTGGCTGATTTCTAGTTAAAGGCCCTGATAATTGCCTCAGTACGAGGAGGGCTCCCTCTGCTGCCTTAGGACAACACTTGTACAAGGCTGAATAAAGGTATCCTCATCTCAAGCCAGGTACACTCTGGGAATGGGAGGTGCACCCCCATGGTAGTCACCTGGGTGTTCCACAGGCCCCTCTCCCACGTTCTCACATCCATGGTTATTAGAGGTCACATTCCTTGAGTCTATTGCATGGCTCAGGCATAAGAAGTGCTTTTCACAGTGGGAAGTTTCAGAGAGCTGTGGGAACAGAACAATAGCAGCTCTCTTTCAAGCAGAATGCCTCTCACTTCCACGGGAGCTTCCTGGGACTCTCTCTGCTGGGAAGCCTGATTTTGAGCCTGGAGCTTTATTACCTTCAGGGCCACAATGTTCCTCTCCTAAATGGAGACAGGAGACTACAGCTGAGCCACAAAGCCATATAATCCCACATGGAGCTTGCTCCACCACCAACAAAACCAAACAATCCACCAGACTACTTGTGGCTGAAAACATACATCAGTGGCACTTTATGAACCACACACACATACCTCTGCTCCCACTGGAGGTTCTGAAGATGTCACTGATTACTACTGGGAGGCACTTTTGTTTCTGATCAAAGAGAGAAAGAGATCAAGATTTCATGCCCTCATTCTTGAGCTTTGGTTTATTCTTGAGCTAAAGACCAATCAGCAGAATTCATAAGAAAAGTGAGGAGTCTCCAGTGTCTAAGGATGTAAGCAATGAAACTCTTTGGATTCAGACAGGGACATCTTCATTTGGCCTGTGACTTTGGGCTTGGCTCCAAGGAGGCTAACACTCAGAAAAGTGAGTGTCCAAGGAAGGCAAGACCCTTTATGTCACTCACCTTTAGGTCCAGGTACTCCAGGTCTTTCTTCAGCTGGAGGTAGGTATCATCAGCCTTCAAATGAAGCACAGAGGATAAAATAAATAAATAAAAAGACAGTTACAGTTATGAACACCAAGGGTTTCCATAACTCAGGGCTTCATGTGTGACTTATTCACATTGTGCAGCCTGAAGGACAAGGTACCCCAGCAGAGCAGCACACCCAGGGCCACAAAGGAAGCACAAATGTCTTGCTGCAACTCAGAGACTCCTTTCAGCATGGTGGATCTTGCAGGTCAGTGTGGGCATGGCCAGCTTGTCCCCCTCCCCACCCTATCAGCTTGGAGATGAATTTGACGGGGAGGAAGGTGACAGCACCCCCCCCATACAAACACACACAAGGCTAGAACAGCAGTGCAACTGAGGTGGGTGGTGAGCTCCTGAGACAGAACTAGAGAGGTCTACCTGGAATGGGACATGTTTACATCTGAGTTAGGGTCCATCAATCACCAATGTTCCAGTTCTTTCATCAAACCTTTGAAATGGGTCATTCGCAATGCATGAAGCAAGATGACCCCCTGACTGATGTGGATGGGTGCCTAGAAGAGGCAAGGTGATGACCTGGGTGACCTAAGGAAGTCCCACTATAAACTGGATTCTAGAACAATAAGTACCAGCAGTCGCTAGAAATTTCCCGTAAGTCTTGGCTCTTTTTACTCAGCATGGAGCCAATGAGACTGTGCCAGGAGCTAATCGAGAGAGTTCCAGTCAGACCTATCTGTTTGTGGCATCTCTGACAGTCTGTCAAGTTCTTCAGAATAATTACTGGAACAGTGAGAACAAGACTTTGATTTCCTAGAATTCGTGCTGTCCTGTGTAGCACATCACAGATGCTAACTGTGAAGCAGAGGGGCTGTGGAAACTTAAGAGAAACAGTCCAGGTACCACTTTCTTGACAGACTAAGAGGGCTGGGCAAAATGGTCCTTGTTTACTGCTCTGAGGTGAAACAATTATGCAAAAAAATGATGTGAGAAGCTCAGGAAGCTCTTTTAAGCATGGGAGGGCCTGAAGGACCACTGTCAGGGCTTGCAAGTGGCTTGCATTAGTGGCTTGCAAAATCTTGTCTTCCTAACTGTCCCCTTACCCATTCCTACCTTCCCCTTTAGCTTGGTTCCTACTCACTTTCCAAAGAAATCAAAAGAACAGAGCAGAGATATGTTATCAAAAGTCACTCAAATTCACAACTTATGGTTTTTGCATATGTTCCCTTCTATTTAGTTTTTTTTATTTCATTTTTTTAAATGCATTTCTTGAGTCCCTCAGGTCTCACTAAAACAAAATGGGCAAGGTCATGGTCCCCTTCCTTCCTCAGCTGTCCCCTGCCTATCTCTGTATAGCCTGGAGGACCAGCGTCATGTGGCTAAACCCATTCCTGTCTGAGGACAACCCTAGGGAAGAGTCACCTTCTTTAAGCTGCTTGAGAAGCCTGGGAAAGTGATTCCCAGGCTATTTCTCAAGGACATTGCCTGTAGAGTCCCAGTGGCCTGGAAACAGTTTAGTACACTATGCCAGACATTACTTGGACTTTGGTTCCATTCTTCATGATACTAGCTGAGGGACCCTGGGCCAGTCATTTCTCCTTCTGGATCTGTTACCTCACACGTGGCAATAAGCCCTGTCCTGTGCATCCTCTCCCAGTTTATTGTGAGGTTCAGCAGGAGAAGAGATTGAAAATACAGGGCACTGTCCACACAGGAGAGGGCACTATGCATTCTCCCTCCCATCTGACCCACACCCTTTAGCAGCCCCAGGAGTGCCCAAGGTGGCAACAAGGACAACAGCCAGCATAGCCCTTTGGACATGACCACACACCAGCCTGGCAGTCACTACTTACAGCCAGAGAAGCCACAGTTCAGGTCCCTCACACCACATGCAGCCACCCTCCCCAGCACAGAGGCATGGGCTCCACCACCACTAGACTGTCTGGCAGTTGCACCCAAAAGCAAACAGGCAGGAAATGAGGGAGAGAGCCAGACAGCAAATACAGACTACAGCGCGGGTACACGGGAACATAGACCAGCATGTCACTCCTGCCTCTGAGTGGCCTGGTGCAGAGAGAGCCCACCACTGCTGACCTGGGAGGTGGGAAAGGTCAGCTGGTGCTGCAGTAACTGGCCGATGGCGAAATCACGCACACTGGCCAGCTTGGCCTGGTGCCGCCGTAACCGGGTAAGAAGCAGTGAGAGCTCCTCCAGCTGCAGGTGTGTAGACACAATACGAGGAAATGAGGCACTGCAGGAGCACAACGCTATAATTACACTCTTCACCGTGGGCCGGGACAGCACTGGTGTGACACCATTAAGCAAATATTGCATTAATTTTGTCATTAGGACAAATAAAGGTGCTGGCAGATAAGGGGCTAGTTTTTTCAGGAGTGTAGCAACCAACAATGCAACCTCACCCAGACTTGAGTTTTGAAGACAGAGTTAACTAGTCAAAGTCAGGACCAGGAGAGAAAGGAGAAAAACAGGTGGCTGAAAAATGCTTCAGGCAAAAATCTACCCCAAAGTGAAGACAAGCCCAGTATTCCCCTCCACATCCTCCTAAGTTCTTTGCCTCCTCTAGAGAGAACCCACTGCTACCTGATGACCTTGATCAAGTCACTGTCCTCTGAGCCTCACTTTCCTCATCTCTAAAATGGGGTGAATAGCTGCCCTACAGACTGCATTTGGCTGGCCCAGGGGAGAAAAACCTGCTGAGAGAGTGCTTTGTAGGCTGTATCATATCACTCACTCGGAGAGATGAGGAGTTGCTTACCGATTTTCCATGTAAGCTGGGAGCGCTGACTGTGTGGGTCATGTAACCCATGGAGGGCATGGAGCGCCGGTCCACGTGAGAGGAGTTCTGCAGGTGGGGAGCAAGAAGTCACATTGAGTCGAGGCCTCTGCCACTCACTATCAATGCAGTCTATCACATGGCACTTCACCCCTGAGCTCCAGGCTCCTCATCTGTAAAATAGGGGTGTACTAACCTCACTGGGTGATAACAATGATAAACTGTGAAAGCACTTTGCAGAGTTAAAATTTAAGTTGAGGTTATTATAAATAATTGAGCCGAGCTAACACAGATATCTTTTCGTGTCTTCCAAGCTGCAAGGAAGCAGAGTTCCAGTAGTGTGGCCCTATGTAGGTTACTTTACCTCTCAATGCCTTACAACTCTCATCTGTAAAATGGGCATAATAGCATCTACCTCATAGGATTGTTATAAGAGTTAATTAGAATTAAGCCAAACAATGTGAACTTTATTTTCTTTGAAAGAGCAATGACTGGTACCAAAAAAGTAATGCATGAGTGTTAGCTACCATTGCTCAAACCACTTGGAACTCCAGCACCCTAATGCTGGGCCCCAGCAGCCTCTTGATCCCAAGCCTCACCTTGATGGCGTGGTCCCGCGTCTTCCTGGGAGAACCCCCCAATGAGATGTCCATGCTCCTCCTCTGGTCAGCTGGCTTCACAGTAACCCTCTCAGCTGGCGTGTGTGGCCGCCGGGGTGGAAAGGCTCTCGGGGGCCCAGGGGGAGGGATGTCAGAGGGAGACGGAGGCACAGAGATGGAGCGGGGCACCTCTAGCATGCTTCTGCTCCGGCCCTGGTCAGTAAACTCCGGGGAGCCTGCACAGATGGGCGCCGTGGGGCTTCCGTGCCGGAACTGCTGACGCTGCTGCCACTCATACAGCTGCCACACAGTGCCATCCCGGTGTGCACGGCGCTCCTCACTGGACATCTTCAGATGGCTGGCTCGGTCCTGCGCGTACTTGTAGTCACTCGGCAGGTTGCGGGGTGGTGGGGAGGAGCTCCCCGAGGGGTGTCGGGTGCTTTTGGGAAGAGTCTGGTAGTTTTCTGGGAAGGACAGCGGTTGGCTAGGGCCCTGGCGAGGAAGTGTCTGGTCCGAGGGAAGGCTGAAGAGAAAGGAGAAAGAAAGGTAAGACAACTAAGCAAGTGCTCTCTCAATCTGTAGGTTCTCTTTTGACTCTTTTGGAGAAGTCTTTGGAAGCACATAAAAATTTAATTTTTAGAAGGTCCCATTTATCTAGTTTATCTTCTGTTGTTTGTGCATTTTGGGTTATGCTTGACAGTCTATGCCAGCATGTGAAGGAGTCCTTAAGAACCCCAAAGGAACTATCAAAGCAGACCTACCGAACTCCAGTCACCTCCTCTCTTTGGTTTTCTTTTTCTTTTATTTTTATTTTTGCAGTGTTTCCTCCCCACCCCTCCCACTCCTGGTAACCAACAAAGTTTCCTTCCACATATAAACCTTTCCTTGACTTTTTACAATAATGAACTAATACTATATTTGTCCTTCTGTGATTGACTTATTTCACTCAGCATGATGTCCTCCAAGTTCATCCACATTATCCGGTGTTTTGCCTATTCTACATTATTCTTGAGTGCTGCATAGTATTCCATCATGTGTATGTACCATAGTTGGGTTATCCATTCTTCTCTTCATGGGTACTTAGGTTGTTTCCATCTTTTGGCTATTGTAAACAGTGCTGTGATGAACATGGGTGTGCATATCTCTTCTTCTCCTGGCTCTCACTTCTTTAGGATATATACCTAGTAATGGGATTGCTGGATCAAATAGTATTTCCAATTCCAACTTTTTAAGGAACTGCCACACTGCTTTCCACAGTGGTTGTATCATTTTACAGCCCCACCAGCAGTGTGTGAGTCCCAATCTCTCCACATCCTCATCAGCATTTGTTATTTTCTGCCTTATTGAACTTTGCTATTAGTGCTGGGATGAGATGGTGTCTCACTGTTGTTTTGATTTGTAGCTCTCTAATGGCTAATCGTCATGGATATTTCTTCATGTGTTTGTTGGCCTCCTGAATATCCACTCTGGTGAAGTGTCTATTCATGTCTTCTGTCCATTTTTTAATTGGTTTGGTTGTCTTTTTGTTGTTGAGGTATTAGAGTTTTCTATAAGTTTTAGAGATATGTCCCTTGTCAGATATATCATTGCTGAATATTTTTTCCCGATCTGTAGATTCTCTTTTTACTCTTTTGGAGAAGTCTTTTGAAGCACATAAGAATTTAATTTTTAGAAGGTCCCATTCATCTAATTTATCTTCTGCTGTTTGTGTATTTTGGGTTATGCTTGACTTGTCTATTTATGCCATAAATTAGAGCCCCTAAAATTTTCCCTAGTTTTTCCTTAAGGAGCTTTATAGATTTAATTTTACATTTAAGTCTTTGATCCATCTGGAGTTAAGTTTTTGTGTATGGTGTGAGGTATGGATCTGGTTTCATTTTTCTGCAAATAAATATCCAATTTTGGAAGCACAGTTTGTTAAAGAGACCATTTCTTCCCATGTAATGGATTTCAGCCCTTTGTCAAAAATCAGTTGACCATAGGTCGATGGATCTATTTCTGGGTTCTCAATTCTGTTCTACTGGTCTATGTGTCTATACGTACCAATAGCAGGCTGTTTTGACTACTGTGGCTGTATAGCAGGTTTTAAGATCTGGGAGTGTGAGACCTCCTACTTTGTTCTTCTTCTTCAATAATGCTTTGCTTATCCAAGGTCTCTTTCCTTTCCATATTAAATTGTTGTTGTTGTTATGTGTCATCAAGTCAGACCCGACTCATAGCAACCCCTCCTTGGGTTTCCAAGGCAGTATCACTATGGAAGTAGATTACCCAA